CCTTCCTTCCTCCCTTTTGGGGTCGCGCCAATTTCACTTTCTGTATCTGGGTATCCAGAATTTCAACCGGAAATCGTTAAAGGGAAGAGCTTTTTCGGTTTTTGTTGGATCAATGGCGACAGAGATGGCACAACCTGACGCTGAAGGGATCGATGGAGTTCGTATGACATGGAATGCATGGCCTAGGACGAAAGTTGAAGCTAGCAAGTGCGTTATCCCAATTGCTTCATCGATCCATCTGATCCGTCCTCATACTGATCTTCCTACACTTCCTTATGTACCTCTCCGATGTAAAACCTGTACCGCTGTTCTCAACCCTTTTGCTCGTGTAGATTTCCAAGCCTTAATCTGGATCTGCCCTTTTTGTTTCCAGCGTAACCATTTCCCTCAACATTATTCCGGTATTTCTGAAACTAATGTACCTGGAGAGCTTTACCCTCAATTCACTACGATTCAATATACGCTCCCTTCTCAAAACCCACAGAGTTTTAATCCTAACCCACAAAACCCTTTACCGGAATCTTCTGTTTCACCGATTTATTTGTTTGTTTTGGATACTTGTATGTTGGAAGAGGAGTTGGAGTTTGCGAAATCGGCGTTGAAAAGGGCGATTGATATGTTGCCGGATAATGCTATGGTGGGGTTTATATCGTTTGGGACGCAGGTTCAGGTGCATGAGTTGGGGTTTTCAGATATGTCCAAGGTGTATGTTTTCCGGGGATCGAAGGAATTGTCGAAAGATCAAGTTTTGGATCAATTGGGGCTTGGTAGTGCGGGTGGAAGACGGACTGGTGGTGGCCCCGGGATGCAGAAGGGTGGTGGACAGATCGGGGTTCCTAATCTTGGTGTTACTAGATTCTTATTGCCTGCTTCGGAGTGTGAATATACCTTGAATTCTGTCGGTTTCAGTTGATAATAATTATCTTTTTGATTGATGTAGCAATTTAGCTTAGTAATTTTTGTGTTGACTTGTTTTTCGTGCATGTTTTTGTAGTTGTTAGATGAATTGAGCACGGATCAATGGCCAGTCCCACAGGGTAATAGAGCGTTACGTTGCACTGGTGTTGCTTTGAGTGTAGCAGCTGGATTGCTTGGAGCTTGTGTGGCTGGTACTGGTGCTCGGATCATGGCCTTAGTGGGCGGTCCATGCACAGAGGGACCTGGGACGGTGAGCCTTACTATCTGTTTTCACTTTTTTTTTTTTGCTTGTCACATCACACTCCCAAAAATTACCTGTCTCCCCAACCCAAGGAATAAAAGGTTCTGTTTGTTTGAGGTGAGGCTTATGATAAGGTTGAGATTTTCATGGCTGCATACGTCTAATTATGGTTTGAATGTCTATTTATGGTGTGTATGGGGTACTACAACGAGTGTTAGCTACTTTGAGTTGTGGGGAATAATTTCTGGAAGAACAATACTTTTAATCAAAATGGAAAAATGAACTTCTCTTGCTTTTGGAGAAAGCCACTTTCCTTCACAAATATCCTAACTTCTACTCCTTCTTACTTGCTTCAATTAACACTTAGCATAATTATCGACCTGAAATACTCAAAATATCACTAGAACACTATCATCACTCTCAGCAGTTACTTTGCACAATTAATGTATCCACATTTTTGCCTTACCAAACACTGCAAGATATCGGAAATGTTTTTTTCTCATGGTGAAATTTGTAAAGCATTTTTAATGAAATTTTTTCCTCCCAAGTCCCCACCAAAACCATTCATAGTTTTAATCAAGGTAAATACACTAGGCAAACTTTTTTTTTTTTTAAATTGCATATAAATGTCGTGATACACTTGTAGATTCTCGGAAAGTATTGATAACTCTCGGAATTCACTTCCCTTAAATAACCTTGTAGCTTATTTTGTGTTATCATTACTGTAGTCAATGAAGTGGATTGACAACCATGAGGTCTAAGGTTCAATTCTTAGCAGAGTCAAAAAAAAAAACAGTAGGTGGTTTCTTCCCATCTATCCAAACTTTGGTGGATAGAGTTATTTGGTGCTTGTGCTGATGGGAGGTAGCAACTACCCCGTGGAATTAGTCGAGGTGCTCAAGATGGCTCCAACACCATAGTTATTAAAAAAAATGGTCGCTCGCTGCTCTTTTTACCTTCTCCCAAGGTTCATGAAAGACTCAGCCACTCTGATGCTGGCCTAAATTTTGAGGCTAAAAACCATATTGTTGAAACATATTTGAGTCAGGAATACAGTTACCCGCATCTTCATGAGACTGACACTTAATTAGATCCTTAATGAAGAAAAACCAATTGTTTCCTTTTTTTGTCTCTACCACCATTAATTGCCCGTGTAAATAAAATCCTTACTACTGATGAATCTCAATGCCTTTTCCTTTTCTTTGACAAATCTCCTTGTTTTTTTGCAGATTGTGTCGAAAGATATATCAGAACCAGTTCGTTCTCATAAGGATCTGCACAAGGATGCAGCACCCTTTTTCAAAAAGGCTGTCCATTTCTACGAGGAACTCGCAAAACAGCTTGTTAGTCAAGGTCACGTCTTGGATGTGTTTGCTTCAGCACTTGATCAGGTTTGTCTGTGTAGTAGCTTTGGCATGGTGACATGTGTGTTATGTGCCATTGAATTATTTAAATGAAGGTGATGGTGTTTCACTAGTTACTAATCATGCATTTGATCCTGACATCTTTTTACAATTATGCTGGATTCTTAAAAGCTATGACATGCGTGTATTTTGACTGTACAAATGTTACAACATATGAGCATCATATGCTTGGTGTGTTATATTTGGACTCTTAGTGTGTTGAGTTCCATCATGTGTACATTTAATTTATTTGCATATCGATGTGTTATTCATGTCAGGTTAGATGTTAATTTAGACTGATTAATGCTGCCGGTGAATTGGCAGCAGATGATGTCATGTTTGGTTTTGTACTAATAATTTTGTGTTTCAGGTTGGGGTTGCTGAGATGAAAGTAGCTATTGAAAAAACAGGAGGATTAGTTGTTCTAGCTGAAAGCTTTGGTCATTCTGTTTTCAAAGATTCTTTCAAGCAAATCTTTGAATATGGTGAACAGTCTCTTGGGCTGTCCTTCAAGTAAGCTTCTTGAGATAATATTTTGCTATGGTTGTTTTGAATGTGGAACCAATTTTAACTTTATGTCCGGGACTTTTTCTAGCAAGAGGCACTAAAGTTAAAAGCATCTATGATATAAGATATACTTGTCTGGAGGTTGTTTTTATTTTTTGGGGTCCAAGTTGTATACCAGTGAGGGGACATTTATGTTGATAACTGTAGAGAATGGGTTAAAGTACTCAACATATATGTAATTGTGAATAAAAAGGATGAGCCTTATTATAGAGGCTGTGCATATCTAGTACAGTTGAATTCAATGAAAAAATTGAAAGGAACTGACAAGATGGTACCTGATTATCAAACTAAAACTATATGTCCAACTTTCTTATGAGTAAAATTGGCGATCTTGATGGAAGTCGTCATAATCAAATTCAGCTCACACATCATTTCTTAATCTTAAAAAGGATAATCAGTTCTGTAATAAATGCAGTTCATATCTATTAATGATTTTAGTGGAAAAATTGAAAAAATAACGTGTTGGTACCTAATTATAAAGTTAAGGCTTGATGTTAGCTGAATGAAAGCTTTATGTCCAGCTTTCTTACCTATAAAAAGGTTGTTCCCCTGAAACATGGTGGTCATTATAGGAATGCATCCCTAGCTACAATCAGGAACAAGAAGAAATCACTGAAACTGGGTGGAGGGAGGCTCAATAGATATGGTTTGACACTACAATATAGATAGATTGTGGGTGTTACACATTTTAAATTATACTGGTAACTAGACTGCTCATCCTTTGGCTAGATAGCGTAATATCACAAAATACAGGACTTGATGTAGACTTAGCAGCTAAAAGTTGAGTACAATTGAATCAAGGATCCATATAGTTAATACCAACTAGTTGAGATTAAGGTTTAGTTAGTGTTGCACTTATAGTGGGTCCAGGCAGAGACAACTGTGAGATTTGGAGAACCTTAAGATTTAGAGAATTCTTGAATTCAAAGACAAATTACATGCTAGTGTTAGAATGAAATATGCCCCAATAGAGCAGAAGATATTCATATATCTCAACTATTTTTTGATTGATAGTAGTTGATTGATGGATTGAATTTTCGAAAATTGCATACCCTATTTGTTATCTTTTAGTTTCATAGTAGCTCAGCGTGAAAACAACCAGTTGAAGTCCTCACACTCTAGTTGATCGATTTAATTGGGTTAACACTCAAGGGACTTGACATACTGGTTAGGCCTTAGAGAGAGTTTTGGTACACGTTTTGTGGTGTTTTCTATGTATACTTGACTTTTCTTTCTACTTTAATTCGTAAAAGTTCTCATTGCTCTATGGAGAAGATGAAGCTGAATTGTTTAGCTCTTTTCTATTTTTGGTGTAAACATGAATATCCTCATGAAGATGAGGATATCCCTAGTATGTTAGAGTCCTTAAGGAGTTCATAGGAAAACAACATCACTTTTGTATTTCTGATTGTAAGTATTACTGGAATACGTCCTGAGTATTCCTGTGTTTATAATACAAGTTACCTTTTCAAAAAAAAAAAAAAGTTCTCATTGCATTCTCCACAATGATAAAGTACAAAACCCTGAAGGGCTTTCTCTCCCCACAGTCATCCTCAACATAAAAAGGATATACCATGGTAATTTGGGAACATTTGTTAGGCAAGTGATTCTCATGAATTGCAGTGTTACAGAAGTATGTATTTGAATTCATATTAGTTGTACTTTTTGCAGCATTTATATTGCCTGCATAATGATGTAACGTAGAATTCTGACTCTACTGCTACTGCTACAGTTGCATTTTATTTTATTTTTAATTCAATGATTTTGATACATTAAATTGTTTCAGTGGTACATTAGAAATCAACTGCTCCAAGGATATTAAAATTCAAGGGATAATTGGACCATGCACATCTTTAGATAAGGTTGGTTCACTAAACTTTTACATATTATCAGTAGTGGGTATTTTTACCTAAAGTTGCACAGTTAAGTTCAAGTTTGGGAACTTATTCCCCTGCAAAAGAAAAGTTAACTCTTTCAGTTACAGTTTTGACAGTTGATATTGATCATTTGGTGCTATGCAGAAAGGACCTGCTGTTTCCAGCACGGTCACCGGTGAGGGGAATACTACAGCTTGGAAGCTGTGTGGTCTCGACAAAAACACTTGCTTAACTGTTTTCTTTGATGTTTCATCTAGTGAGAAATCAGACCCTTCAGGCAATATAAATCCGCAATTGTACATACAGTTTCTCACGAGGTACTTGGAACTCTAGGAACATTCACCTCTATTTCTTTCTTATCCTTTACTGTTTTTTCTAATAAATATTTTAAGCTGAAATTTTGTTATTGGATTGGTTACACTGTTTTTCTTCTTGAACAACTCTAGATAGAGGAAAAGAAGAGTTACTGTACATCTAAAATTTGCCGGCTTTGATGTAAATGCAGTTACCAGAGCCCTGATGGCCAAACAAAACTACGAGTCACCACCGTTACTAGAAGATGGGTTGATGCTGCTGTTAGTAATGAGGTGCGGCACTAAGAGTTTTGTGTTAGAAGTATCATTTGTTACATAATTAACTCCATTACTGTTCTCTTCTGTATAGCTCCAAACTCAAATGTATCTTTCCCCAAGCATAGAGTAATGTTACTTGTCTTTCAATTTTATTGCTGATTTCTGGTAATTTTCTGAGTTGTGCTTTGTGAGGCAGTTTTTTCCTAAAGGACAAAAGAAGAATAAGAATTCGGTTAATTCCTCTAGCCCCACAAACAAGAAAACAGAGAAAGGAAACTTAAGAGATAGAGAGAGACCACATTATTCAGCCCATTTCAATATGAAATTGTTATGCTGAAAGAATCTTTTTATATTTATTTGAAGTCCTCCGAGGAGGGTTTCCTGCGAAGGGTACCTCATCGAACAAGAATGTCCCGTTTGAATTTTGCTCTTGTTTCAAGTAGTTGAGGAATTTTATCTCATTGTTTGAACTTTTTGGGGAGCATACGAGTGTTTGTTGATCCTGACACTGCAAGAAATCTGTTTTTTCCAGGAATTGGTGCAAGGATTTGATCAAGAGACTGCTGCAGTTGTAGTGGCTAGATTAGCTTCTTACAAAATGGAGATGGAGGTAACTTTTCAAGACTATTATTTAGTTCTGCATAAAATTTTACGGTACTCAGGGGGTAAGCTTGTCATGCTTTAGTAAATAGTGAAGTAACAAGGTCAGTTGAGTATGCTTGAAGTAGGGAAGAATTAGTCCTTAAAACATGAATCGTGGTAAAATATTACATTCGCTTATCATCTTGTGCTTGAACTTTATAATTTCCCACTTCTCATTTTTGTTTTTTTTTTGATAAATCCTGGCTAACTGATTTCAGGAAGATTTTGATGCCACAAGGTGGCTAGATCGTAATCTCATTCGTCTGTGCTCCAAGTTTGGTGATTATCGGAAGGATGAACCCAGCTCATTCACTTTGAATCCCTCTTTTTCATTGTTTCCTCAATTCATGTTTCATTTACGGCGATCCCAGTTCTTACAAGTAATATAGCTCAGGATGTTCTTTCTTATCTCAGTGTCAATAACATAACAAATTGATGTCATGGATGTACATGTTCTCGTTTCTCACTTAAGTATGTGTGTCACAGGTGTTCAATAATAGTCCAGATGAGACAGCATATTTCCGCATGTTGCTCAATCGGGAGGGCATAAGCAATGCTGCTGTCATGATTCAGCCAACGCTAACAGCATTTTCATTCAATTCACTGCCTTTCCCTGCTTTGTTGGATGTGGCATCCATTGCAGCTGATCGCATTCTCTTGTTGGATGCTTATTTTAGTGTAGTTATTTTCCATGGAATGACAATAGCTCAATGGAGAAACATGGGATACCAGGACCAGCCTGAGCACCAGGTATGTCTCACGTTTTTCTCTTATCTAGCGATATTCTTTTTAATTTTTTGTGGTAGCTTGAGTCTGCTGTTGCTTCATGATGAAAGAGGAAGACTCGGAAATCTCTTCATCCTCAAGCATGCAGAGTTTGTGCTGTACTAGCATGATGTATTTTCATAAGGTGCCTGTGAAACAAAAATATGTATTCTTTTTTCCCTTTCTCCTCTTTTCAGGCATTTGCACAACTGTTGCAAGTTCCCCATGATGAGGCCCAAGCAATCATCCGTGAGAGGTTTCCTGTTCCAAGACTGGTAGTGTGTGATCAGCATGGCTCCCAGGTAAATGGTTATTTCTATTTAAATATTGTTGACTTGTGAGCGCTCACATGCCTATTGAGAAGTAGGATCAATTGTAAGTTCGTCATTAGGGGATAACATCATTTCACTCATGCTGGACAGGCAAGATTCCTTTTGGCAAAGTTGAATCCATCTGCCACGTACAATAATGCAAATGAAATGGCAGCTGGATCAGACGTGATCTTTACAGATGATGTGAGCCTTCAAGTGTTCTTTGAGCATCTTCAGCGGCTAGCTGTGCAATCTTCTTGACCCAAGAAGAAAGATGGAGCTTTACTGTTAATGCTTGTCTCAATTATGTGAAAATCTCATTGAGTTTGCCTCATCTATCCTGCCAGCCTCTTGTCGGAAGTTCATAATTTTCTTCCTATCCTCCGTAAGATGAGAGGTCAGACCCAGATATTATATGGAAAACTAAGACTACATATGACATTCTTTCAGGTATGTGGAGGTACTTTTGCATCCTATGAAAATGAACGGTAACTCGACTCATTGTTCTCTATAGTTATATTAGAAGGGGGGGTATGTTTTAAGTCAAATGGCGTGTTTGCTCCCTCGGGCTGTTGAACGAGAAGATAGTTTATGTCGGCGACTTCCTTTTTTTGTTAGTTATTACCAGGCAAAGAGTTTGTGTCTGCTTTTGTATTGAATCATAGTTGTAGTTTATTGGATTATGGTTTGTAGGATAGGAAGTTTTTGAAACCATTTGCTTATTTTGAATTTCATTCATAATTTAAGGTATATCTCATATACATCTGTAGACCACAATTTTGCTTCCTTTGTGTCATTTTAAGTATCTTGAAGCTTGTGTTGCACTTTTGCCCCTATTCTTTTTTGGTCTTGAATTTATGCCCTTCATAATAAACAAATGTGAGGCATAAGTTTATATTTTCGTAACGTAAAATCTCACAAGTTATGCCTTTGCATGACTTCAGTTTCTAAAGAACTTATGCCCACTAGGCATTAGTTCAACGGCTAAGGGGTAAAAATTTAAGATGAACTTATTTGAAGGGCAAAAAGTTTTGATTTTATGGTTTAACACACCTAAGATACTTATGATTAAAGTTAAGCTATTTATTATTTTTCCCAATCATGTTTATTTTGCCCAGAATTAGTTATCTTTTATCAGTACTAATCTCGATTGTTTATTACTATGATTTAAATAGATGAAAAAAAATAATCTTAACTTTTTTTTTTTTGTCTCTTCTAAAATCTAAATTTAAACTAGTGTCTTATTATCATCACTAATCTCTAAACAAACAATTTTACTTATAAAACTATTAGGTGGAACCCAATAACTTACGTTGAATATATGATTGACAGTTTCTTAAATTTGTTAATTAATTTTATTTAGATACTCAAATTACGATATGATTCAATTGTATATCTAAATACATGATGAATTTTGTATTAGATTTATTCTATTCAAATTTTAGAGAAGTTTTTACCTGTTTTTAAGTGTTCATTACGTAGATACATTAACTATATAAGATATGTCATTTACTTTTAATTATATAGTATATCACTAACATCAATCTCAATTGGAACATGCTCAAGATTTTATAGGCTTATTGACACTAACATGTATAGTTAAAAAAAAAAGAGTGAGAATAACTTATCTATGTAATAAATGTTTAAAAACATTCACAAAAACATTTTTGAAAATTGAGTGGAAAGTGTCTAACCCCTTTGCAGGCCTCCTGCCCATCTGCTTCGGCTATAAGATACTGCTAATATGAATACTTTATTATTTGATGTGCTTAATTGACATGGACTATACGTCGATTTATCTAAATGAAATTTATTAGTAAATATAAGTGTTATGTATATACAACAACAATAACAATTCTGTGAAGATCATAAGATATACAAAGATTATACTTTTATGACTAGAAAAGTTGTTTCACTATTGAGCTTCGATAATCATTCTTCTTTGTTCATACTTGAGGCCGACAATATAAACGAGCTTGTTGATGAAAACTCACCTTTATATAAATCCATTCTTTCCCATAAATATCCATAGTGCCGTGTTTGTTTTCTCAAACATTAGTCAAATGAAGCAGCATCATTTCGTTATCATTTCTCTTCCTGCCCAAAGCCATATAAATCCCACTCTCCAGCTCGCTAAAAACCTCTCACGCGCCGGAACTCGCTGCACCTTCGTCACCACCGTCAATGGATTCCGCAAATTGAACAACCTTCCGTCCATCGACGGTTTATTCTACGCGTCTATCTCCGATGGCAACGACGACGGCGCAGCTAAAATGGACTTCGGCGATTACTTGAAACAGTTAAAGCGCGTGGGATCGGAAAATCTCAAAAAACTTATCGATGAACTTGCCGGCGACGGTCATCCAGTTACTTGCTTAGTCTACACATTTCTCTGGGCGTGGGTTGCAGAGGTGGCGCGTGAGATTAACTTGCCGTCTGCTTTTCTAGCTATTCAATCTGCTACTGCTTTTGCGATTTATCACCATTTGTTTAGCATCAATAACAATGGAGTTTACAGCTCTACTAGCGAAATTGAGCTCTCGTTCCCAATCAAATTACCAGAATTGCCCCTGTTTTCGCGCGATGATATTCCTTCCTTTTTACTGCAGAATGATCCTTACTCTTCTTTCATGATCCCTGTAATGAGAGAACACATACAAAACCTCGAACACGATCCTAATCCTCGTGTTCTCATCAACACTTTCGACAAATTAGAAGAGAAATCCTTGAAAATTCTCGATAAAATTGGGATCTGCTCAATTGGACCTTTGATTCCTTCTGCTTTTCTCAATGGAAATGAACTCGAAGACAAGTCTTTCGGATGCGATTTGTTTGAGAAATCTGAAACTTATTGCCAGTGGCTGGATTCAAAACCCGAAGGTTCGGTTGTTTATGTAGCATTTGGAAGCGTAGCAATGGTGAAAGAGGAACAGAAGGAAGAGGTTTTGCAGAGTTTAATGGAAAGCGAAATGCCATTTTTATGGGTAATTAGATCAAGCAAAGAAGATGACAAGAAGAAGAATGATGAAATTTATGGATTGAATGGAAAAGGGATGATTGTTCCTTGGTGTTCCCAAATGGAGGTAATGTTTAAATTCTTCCTATCTCTTTGAATTCATATGGTAATAGTTTGATCTGATACGAAGTTTAAAAATGAAATCAAAATTTAGTTTTATTCAAAAATATGTTATAATGTCAAATCGATTCGAATTCAAAAAACGAGAAGTTAGAGGAGTCCTGATGCAAACAATAAAGTTGTTTCCGTGTGATTTATAGGTTACATGTTCGAGCTGTAGAAACGATCCTTAATGTATACATTAGGGTAGATTGTCTATCGTACAACCTTTGAGTGCATCCTTCTCTCTCCAGACCCTACGTGAACGTGTAATACTTTGTGCATCGAGTTGTCCTTTATAGGATGAGAAGTTCAACTCAAACCTATTTGATGTTTAAAATAGTGTACCATTTGTCTAGAACGGACTAATAAGAAAAATCGTGTAATTCTTATAGGTACTTTTTCATAAGTCAATTGGGTGTTTCGTGAGCCATTGTGGATGGAATTCGACTCTAGAAAGCACGGTAGCTGGTGTGCCACTGATTGGAGTCCCACAGTTATCCGATCAAATGACGAACATCAAGATGGTGGAGGAGGTTTGGGGAACCGGAGTGAGAGCAAGAGTAGAAGAAGAAGGAGGAATTGTGAAAAGAGAAGAGTTAAAGAGGTGTTTGGAAGTTTTAATGGGAGATGGAGAGAAAGGAAATGAAATCAGAAGGAATGTGAAGAAATATAGAGATTTGGCTATGGAAGATGTGAAAGTGGGAGGTTCTTCACATAATAATTTGAACGAGTTTTTAGAGAGTTTGTGAGGCATTTCGACCTCGGACTCGACTCGTGGAATTATACTGGATATGTTGTTAAAAATTCCCAAAAGACGGAGACAATGAAGAATTGGCCGAGACCCACAACGCCAATGAAGATTTGGAGTTTCTTGGGTTGTAAGGCATTTCTAGTTCTTGGGCTGAATTGATTTCTGAATTTTGGTGCATAAAGAATTGGGTAATTTGTTGAAGTTATTAAGCTATTTATGTAATTTTGTTAAGTTATTTTAAATGTTAAATGATAGTTTATGAATAAATATTAAATTAGATTTTAACTTTTTCCAAATAGTACTAATATCTTAAGAGCTGTATGTACAAATAACTATTAAAAATATGCATAAAAAATCTAAATAATATTAATAATAAATTGTGTATAAGAAGGTACAAAATAAATAGAACAACATATATTAATCCATATTGAAAAATAAGAAACTGACTAATACTACTAATAAGGATACGGCGCTAGCTCCTTGCATTTCCCATGTAAAGTGCTGTAACATTTGATTATCTACTAACCTTCTATTTTAATCTTCGATTTTCATACCTTTTATTTAGGGTCATATACTTAGTAAGCTGAAAACATGATGTCCTGTCTAATCAGTAATCACCTATTCAGTTCCTTTTTAGCTTAACTTTGCCTCTTTTAATTCTCACTACAATCAACCTTTCACACCACCTTACTGATGTATCATGTATTTGTGCACCTTCTCTTCACATGCACGAACAATCTCAATCTCATTTTTCTCATCTTGTCGGCCACTGAGGCCATTCCCACTTTAACTCGTATAACTTCATTCTTAATCATAACTCTCTTAGTATACCCACATTCCATCTAAACATCCTTATCTCCGCTCCATTCATTTTCTGAACGTGAAGTCTCTTGTCTGACCAACATTTCCAGAAATGCTATGCTTACACACAAGACTACCCCTCTTCCCGAAAGCTTCGCGGGGACTACTTTAGGACGACGGACGACCGCCCGACCATACAACAATGTTGATCTAATCACTTCTCTGCAAAAACAAAATACCTTTAAGTCTTAATAACACATTGTTATCGCATAGTAATCCAGACGCAAGCTTCCATTTCACCCACTTTGTCCATTACAATTTGCGACATTCTCATCAATCTTTTCATCTCCTTGAATTATAGACTCAAAATATTTGAAACTTCTTCTCTTGAATATAACTTGTGCATCAATTATATTTGCAATTCTTTTTGGAAATAAGCCAAATTTTAAAAGTGGCTAGAAAAACAAATTGCATATTTGAAGCTATAAATTTCAACCTTCTCCTAAATTTACATAAATTGATTTTTTTAAAAAAGGTTGAATTTGGAAATCGTATCTTCTCCGATCTCCGTCTCCGGCGAATTCCAGTCGGAAGTTCCCTTCCTCTCTCATTACTACAATAAATCCTCAATGATTTTGAAGATCTACTTTTTTTGGTTCATGAATTTCCATCATAGATTGTATACTTAATACTTTGTTTGGATGGTTGTTATGTATTGTACTCTATTATTTTAACGAATATAATATTTGGATAGATTGTATTATATTCCGTGTTAGTAATGTCACACATCCATAATTTGAAGTAGAGTATAGTGTACAACTACTATGGAAAAGGTTGAGTAAATGATAAATTAAAATTATTGAATAATAAGTAAAGTCAAAATGAGAAAAAAAATATTAAGGTAACAACGCGATTACACTATATAATACAATAGAATTTTGAAAAACAATCAAAACAAATATTATATTTAAACTAACAGTACAATACAATGTGTAACAACCATCCAAATTATTTTTTCACATATTTGTAATACATGTTTTAAAAAATGAAACTTGGGCTTAACTCTATCTCAAAAGTTAGTATATATATATATATATATCCCCTATATGGGAAAATTAGCAATTAAGTCACAATACCTAACATAATTAGTTAAA